ACTGAAGCCACCAGTGGGGTCGGAGTCCCACTCGGCCTTGGCACAGTTGTGCTTCTCTAGAGACCAAGGGTCCCTAGAACCAGTCACTATTGTGACTAGAGTCAGAACCCCAACGCATAACCCCTGGCTTCCTGGAAGGGGATCACTATGAGATCCGGCAAAGAGTCCAGATTCTCTGGTGGGGGTTCAGGTAGATAGTCCTGGCTTAGTATGTCTAAGGCAGGCGTCCCCAAACTACGGCCCACGGGCCACATGCGGTCTCCTGAGGCCATTTATCCGGCCCCCCGCCGCACTTCAGGAAGGGGCACCTCTTTCACTGGTGGTCAGTGAGAGGAGCACAGTATGTGGCGGCCCTCCAACGGTCTGAGGGAGTGAACTGGCCCCCTGTGTAAAAAGTTTGGGGACGCCTGTAATAGACTAACCTAATTAGATGCTGGTGAGGAAGAGAGTGAGAGGATGCGTACTGGACAGGCAACTTGCAGTGTCCAATAATTCCAGGCACACAGTGGTTGCCTTACCCTTAGTGTCACTTATTTGAACATTCATAGCAGCCTCCTCTCTGCTGTGAGTTAACCAAAGCAACTCAGCAACAAAAAGTGTCAGTATCTTCTGGCTCATTCATGACTTCATCTGACTAACACTCACTGCACAGCCCCAGGCGTCAGGCCAGCGCTGGATGTCAGGCACGCAGGGAGATGGGCGTCCTTTCTCGCCTGTGTATCTGGCATGCCTCTGCCCTGGAAGAATTACCTGTCTGTGCAGAGGTGGTTCGACCCAAACTGCACGGGCAAACGGCCCGTCTTCAACCCACCTGTAAAGACAAGATGATAGTACTCGTGGCCATGCAGTGTGGCACAGTACTCGTGGCCGTGCAGCGTGGCACAGTACTCGTGGCCATGCAGCGTGGCACAGTACTCGTGGTCGTGCAGCGTGGCACAGTACTCGTGGCCACGCAGCGTGGCACAGTGGCAGATTCTTAGATGTGGATACCAGACAGCTGCGCTGGTGCTCTCTCCACCCATGCCCCTGCCTGCATGCCTCTGTGTGCCACGAGACAGCCACTCATCCAGCAATTCACTGCCTGCGACTCTGCTTCAGGTACAGTGCTGGGCGCTGGCGAAGGTCTACCCGGCATCCATCTCTCCTTCTTCCTTCCAAAAACAAAGCCCCAGTTCTGTTCTGAGATGAGCGATTTGGACGCCTATCACATGATGGATTATAATGGATCTAAGACACACGTGACAATGCAATTCGCTGCGTTCCCAGGGTCCCCTCCACCACCCAGTTCAGCTAGGAGTTGCCTGTGACCTAGTCAATGAGAACTTCTACAGCGATTCTGAGAAAGTGTTTGTCTTCCGGGTACGAGGAAGAAATGCAGACGGTGCCACTATCTGCACCTTCTTCTGCTCTGAACTCAGAAGCAATGACTGGACCCACAGCAGCCAGTTTGCGGTGATGAAGCACTCAATGACACATGCAGATGGCAGAAGGGAAGACAAGGATCAGGCAGGCACACGACCACGCCCCTTGTCTGCGGCCACGCCCCTTGTCTGCGACCACGCCCCTTGTCTGCGGCTCCAGCCTGTGACCACCTCTGTCTGCACTCACGGTCACTTAAATATTCACCCCCGTTTATTTAAGATTATGTGAAATGGGTTTTATTCTGTTGGTGAAAAACATCCTGAAATGACATAAATAGAAAACAAGAATGCCAGAGCTCTTGCCCTCAGAAACCTGAGCGTTTACATGAGAAGAGTGGCCAGATAAGGCAGGCTCTTCAGGAAGGAGGCTGAGCGTGGTCCGAGGAGACGCAAGATGGGTCTAAACTGATGGAGAAACGGGGACAGGGGAGGTTTTGCTGAGAACGTCTTGTTACGTCCAGCCATTAGAAACAAGTTCCTGTTTCTATAATACGTGGCCCACAGTGAACCCACGTTAATCTGATGACACCAGGCTCCACCCCATCCCCAGGGAACAGTGTTTCCACTCACCTGTCCCCCCTTCACTCCAGGACAGAGGGGAGATATGACCTGGGAGTCCCCAGTTCCCACTATGTCACTGGGACTCTCCCACCTGTATGAGTTTTCTGCTGTGAATCAGGTCTGGGTGCGCCTAGACTCTGCCCACCACGAGGGAGAGCAATGCAGGTCACTGTACCAGGCTTCAGCTTCCCGGCGGCCTGGCCATTAATTATTAACAATGCAGAGAAAAAGACACCAGCTGAGCCATCACCCTAGACTAAACCAGGGCTTAGAGAACACTGCATTTTAGCCCAAGGCGAAGGGCTTCGCCTTCCTAGTTTAGATATCACCATGCATCAGTGATCAGGGCCAGAAGTGAATTATCCTAAAAACAAAACTATAGCATAGGAGCATATGCGATTACATTCAAACGCTCTCCAGAAAAAGCTCAGACAGGGAACATGGGAGCGGCGGCGAGGAAGGCTACAGACGGGCAGCAAACTCCTGCGTTTCCGCGCTTCGCGGCCGCTTCTCAGAAGGTCCGTAATACATAGTATCTGCTACCCTATTGGGGAAAACTATTTTAAGACTAATTAGCATGAAATTTTTAGAATGCAAATGCTTTTCATTAGACATAAAACAAAATGCCACGACATTTCTTCCATCCATTTATCATAAACAAGTTAATTACTGTGTAACAAATCGCTCCTGCTGGAATCTGCATGTTTGGGGCTGCCGTGAGCTGACTCAGGCAGAGAGAAGGAGGCGCAGAGCAGTCGCTAACAGCTCGTGGCCTACCCGGAAGAACACGGCCACTCTGTGAAGCTTCACTCATCAAATTAAGGTTAAGCTCTCTCTGCTGGAATAACTCAATTATAAGTAGTCATTATCTATTTAACTTGATTCCTACCAGAATAACAGTAATGCCATCATGCTTCCTGTCTCCTCTTCACACAGGCCTCGCCGTGCTCCCGTGGTTTCAAAGCACTCTGTGTACTGAGCGATGTCACTGTGCCCCAACTTCATGCACGTCAGCCTTAGCTCTTGCCCGTACGTGCAAAGTTATTTGTAAGATATAAAACATCTCTTTCTTCCTGAGACTCTACACCTTCAGAAGAACCAGTGGAAGAAAACAGTGGGAAGGGGACCCACCAGGCGCAGGAGAAGCCATGCAACCACAGCCCCCCAGAGGAGGGGCGGAGAGGACCCCACATGGCCAGGTGCTCAGGAGATTCTCCACAGTTCTCCCCTGAACCGCCCTGGCCTGGGCTGCACACCTAAGTCAGTGGCTGCTTGGAAAATGAGTCCACAAAGTATCTGAGCTGGTCCAGATTCACCCCGGGTCATGTGACTCCTGGTCCCCCAGAAGGCGAACACCACATGGGCACAGGAGCCAGGCCGACATCTGGCCAGTGATCTCGGCTTCCCCACCACACTGGCCAAGAGCAGAGCACAGTTTGGCCTGGACCCCCACGAGCAGAGATACCCGCGCAGTCCTCCGTGAAAGGGAAGAGGTGTTGGTTTGAAATCCCATGTTGTGTTGTAGAACACATGAGCATTTGCCACTCTTCTGTGGTGAGCAGTATTTATTTCTAAAAAGAGAGGCATGTTTCTTAAGTGCCTGAGTAAAATGGATACTCCAAGGTCTTATCATATTGGCCACATAATCAGAGACCTTAACGATGCCAGTTTCAGCACAGCAGCACGTGGGCACAGCAGACTGCAGTCAGCGCCCCATGAGTTCTAGGGGACTGTACCATGGACTGAGAGTGAGGGATCCCCCAGTACTTCTCTGGGGGTCCACTGGATTCTCAGTAAACCAAACGATCCTGAAAATGACCTACCTGTTCTAACTCCTGTCCATTCCAACCCATTTAAAGTGGCACACACAGCACAATTAACAGACAGGCTCTTGAAAGGTCTTTCCTACGCAGGCCCTCTCAGTACATCCATTCTGCTCCCAGGCCAACTGCCTCGAGGTTTTTAAACATTTGATCATTAAGGAGTCAGTAATAGCACGGTTTAGATAGCAAAAACAAGTCAGAAAACTTGTACTCGGCACAAAATAAAAATCCGAATCCACATAACCAGGAGTCAACAGGGTATGTCAACATCTCTGTCTCCAAGGGCGAGAATCTGAAAAAGCACTTCACTATAAGCCTGAGTTCATGCACACGCGTGCACACACGCACAGTGACTGCTGTCGGTTCCGGAGGGAAAAGTCAACATTCCCTGGGATACAAAACCAGCGGGGGCGGTCAGCAATCCTGAATGCTAAAATTTAGCTTCGATACTTTATGCAAAGTTCTCTTCCTCCATGGATTTGAAATCAACGGCTGCCACTTCTGGGGAACTGAGGCAGAGAGGAAAGGCGTGAGCCAAGGTGCTCACGGCACAGCTCTGCAACCTCCAGGAAGGAAAGGCTGATTTATGTCCCCTTCCATGCAAATATAAAGTTTAACTGCCTTGAAAGGGAAACAGATCAATCAGCAGGGTGATCTACTGTCATCTGAGTTTTGAAGCCGTCTCTGACTTTCCCGTCACAAATGTGGATATAATCCTGCAATTACGATAAAGCTAATTGGTAGTTCCCTCCTCATGTGTGTTTTCCTGTTGTCAGTGGGGCAGTAATGAAAATGAATGCCACATTTGCGAGCAGACCGTCTGTGGGCTTATTTACCGCATTTCCAACAACACCGTCTGCTTTATCACGCACTTCAAAGCAGGGATAATTTCAGTACCCAGAACTTCATACATAAAAATACTCGGGAAGAAAGTCTCTCTCTGAACATTATTTGGGTGATGTTACATCCGAATTGCAATTTGTTGCCCAGGAAATGATTCATTTCACTCAAAAATGACGGGGATTCTGAATCATTCACCTGTCATGCAAAACGCCCCTCAGGTCGACTAATTTGCACCGCGTTGACTCTACAACCATCATTCCGCAGAGAGCACAAAAACCAGGCAAGCCTGGCCTCTCCACCACAAGGAAAAGCAGGACAGCGGTCCACGCCCACCCGCCACGCCCCGCCCTACCTTGAAGTAGCTTCTCCCCTTCCAGGATATTTTGGGAGATTAATGCTGTGTAATCGTCTTCGGAGAACCCAGCCTTGCAGGTCTCTCTGGTTGTAAGATCCTCGTTATGGGCCTGAGAACGGAAAGAGAAGGTAAAACAAACATCAGTTCACATTTAGTGCAACCATCATGTACCTGGGGCCTGCTGTGCAAAGAGTCTCTGGCTAAGAGAGAACGGCTGGCCGGCCGGGGTCCCACCCAGCCGCGAAATCCCGTCCGCTCCTCTGCTCTCTGGGGACTTCAGGGCGCATTCTCGAGGCTGTAGACCCGGGGCATCCTTCCCCAGCCTCACACACAGCAGGATGTGCTGTAGGGAATGAAGGACGGACTGATGGCGAAGCCAGGCGGGTCAGGGCCGTAGGGGCAGGGAAGATGCCTGAGGAATGTCCAACAGGCCGAGGCAGAGGACTCCAGCCGCTGCTCCCGAAGCCACTAAGGGCAGCAAGGCCACAGCGTGGGCGGCTCTGCTCAGACCGTTCGCTCTCGGGGCCCACCGCTTCGCGCGCTTGGTAAGGCGGAGGCGGCGGTTTCCTGTCTTGTCTCCGGGTCACCGGAGGGAGGAGAAGGAGGAGAGCAAGAAAGAAGATTCTCTAGGACCAGGTTCCGCGCAGGGCGAAGAAGGCGGCTCTGCGGGAGGCTGCCGGGGCCGGGGTGGAGGAGGCGGTGGGGGCGCGTGAGCCTTCCAGTCTTCAGCTCGCGTTTCCACCCTCGGAGCCACCATCTCCTCCAGCCCGAGCAGGGAGGCAGCTCCCCTAACTGACGGCAGACAGGGTCTCCTCCGGTCCTCCGGAGCTCGCTCGCCACTCACGCTCAGTGGGGAAGTCTAGAGCCCGTGGCACGAGGCCAGGGAAGGATGGGTGGGCGACAGGGCCCTCTCCCAAGCTTCTAGGAGGGGGCGTGACAGGCAGGAGGCGGTGGTGGAGGGAGAGGCAGCGTGCGGTGTACGAGCGGGAAGCCAGCCCCGCTGCGGGAGCAGGAGCGGCAGGAGCAGGAGCAGGAGCACGGCGGCGCTGGGTTCCCCGGTTCCCCGGCGAGCGCAGGGAGCCCCGGGCGCAGCCCGCACCGGGCAGTGGCACCTCCCGCGCGCCGCCTCCTCCAGCCCCGCGCGCCACCGTCGCCCGCCCGTGCTTCGGCTCCGGAGGCCGCCCCCAGCTCGAGCTCCAGGCTTCCCGACGCCGGCCCCGCGGAGGGCGCCCCTCTGCCCCCAGCACTGAGGGAGGAGAGCGCGACACGGGGCCCTTCCTTAGGAAAAGCTCCAGATCGCGGCTTTCCTCCTCGGCCACGAAGCTCCAAATCGCACCCGCAGCCCGGAGGGAGGCTCAACTCGTCCCGGAAAGTTTCGGGCCGCCCGGGGCGAGTGCCCAGCGCACCCCCCGCGCCCCCGGCCACGGAGCGGGCCTCCAGCCTACAGCACTTGTTTATTTCCGAGGTTACAACAGCGCGGCCCGGGAGGAGGCAGCGAGGCCGATCGGCCACGAGAGGGGGTTCCTGCAACTCCCGCGGCCCCTCCGCCTCCGCCCAGGGGCGCCCCGGAGCCGCCGCGCACTCTGCCCCCGCGGGCCCCGCACCTCGCCAGGCGCAGAGCAAAGCCACGATCCGAGCCGCGGGGCTCTGCGGAGGAAGCGGGAGACCCCCTCGCCCTCCCTTCCCCTTCCCGGCCCTCCCCTCCCGGGGCGCCCTCCCGCGCCGCGCCTGCCTGGCGTCCGGCTTCCCGGCCCGAGCCCAGCCCCGCTCCCGGCCGCCGGGTCCCCGCCGGACACTCGGGCTCCAGCCCCGCCGAGGGCGCCCCGCGGTCCTCACCCGCCGCCCACCCGCAGCGCCGGTCCCGCCGGCACCCAAAGCCCCGAGCGGCGCTGCGCGGCGGACCCCAGGCCCCGGGCGGGCGGGAGAGGTCGGGCAGGCGTCCGCACTCCCGGATCCCCACGCCCGCAGCCACGGCCGGGGCTGGGCTCGGCAACTCCCGCGGCGCGCGGCTCCCGGGCGGTGGAGGGCGCGCCGGCTCCGCCAGTGGGAAGCCTGCCCCGCGCGGGCGAGCCGAGCTCCGGGCAGCGGCCGCGGGCTCGGGGCGGCGGAGGGATGCTCGGCGGGTCCGGTGCAGGCGGAGCTCCCTCCCCGGGTCCCCCGCCGAGCCCCACTCCCGCCCGGCTCCTCCACTCCCCGCTGCCCTCCCGGCTCCCGCCGACCACAGGCAGCTTCGCGGAGCGCCGGCGCCGGGCTGGATGCAGCGGGGAGCGCGGCGGGAGAGCCCGGGGGAGCCCCGCCGGCTCTGGGGCGACCTCGCGCTGCCCGGGGCTTCCGCGCGGCCGGGGCGGGAGGCGGCAACTTACCCGGAGCGCGCCAGAGAGCGAGAGCAGCACGAGGAGCACGCCGGCGCCCGCGGTCATCTTCCCCGGCGCCCGCCCGGTGCCCGGCACCGGCAGCCCGCTCCCCGCCGCCGCCGCCGCCGCCGCCGCTCCCCCGCGCCCGCCCGGAGCCTCCAGCCCCGCTGCGCCCGCCGCGCTCGCCGCCCCGGCTCCGGGAACCAGGCCAAGTCCGGCGGGCGGCGCGCTCCCTCGGGCCGGTATCCGCCGGCCTCGCAGCCGCCCGCGCCTCTGTTCCGCGCGCTCGGAGCTGCAGGTGAAGCCGCGGCCGCCCCGCGAGGCCCCGCCCCGCCGCCCGGCCCCTGCGCTCGTTCGCTCGCTCTGCCGACGCGGGCCTTAAAGGCGCAGCGCCCGCGCCCGCCCAGCCCAGCCCAGCCCAGGCCCCCCTGCACGCCGGGAGCCCCGCCGGCTGCGGCAGAGGAGGCCAAGGGCGCTCGGTCTCCGGGGGAAAAAAGCAGGGGTGTGGAGACCGAAGACAGCGCTGGGGTTTCCGTCTCCAAACCCGGAGCACCCCTTCTGGAGGCGGCGCCCCCGCGGTGGTCTTAGTCCGACTTCCCGCCTGGGACCGTGGTGCGAGTGGGAACTTCCATCCTGTCCCTTCTTTTTCAAGTGTCTCCTGACTCACTCTCCGGACCCAGGCCTACCCCACGGCCTTGAACCCAAGTCAGGCAGCTCAGGGCTGAGGGTCGCCACGTGGAGCAGATGAGCAGAGGGACAGGCCGAGGCTCCAGCCTGCGGGGCTTTGCAGGCCCATCCTCCCGCCCGTAACTCAGGAAAACTCAGGCTGGGGACCTGCCCTTAGGACTCGGGACGGTGCTAATTCCTGTGTGTGCGTCAAAGCACACTGCTCGGCCTCAGAGGCCGAGAAAGAAACGAGAAGCTCGAAGGAAGGAAGAGATTCGCAGACAGGAGCTGTCCGGAGTGTCTGCGCCTGCAGGCGGGCGGCTCCAGGTCCCTTTGCCCTGCGTGGGTGATTGCTGAACGCGGGGTCACTTCTTTAAGGGCCATCAGGTAAAATATATGTACCGCCCAGACAGTGAGTAAATGTTTCTGCACTTTTCCTTTTGACTTGGAGATTTAAAAAAAAAAAAAACGTGCTTTTGTTTGCTCAGATACATCGAATTTTCTTTGTCTGGGTTTGCAGGGGCTCTATGTCCAGAATACATTCGTTCTGGTTTAAGAAAGAGGTTGCAAAGGAGAGGGTGGAAGATTGAGTGACACTGTTGAGCTCCAAGATCGGAGTCCACTTGGGCGAGTGAGTAGAGAAAGCGACAGACCAGCCGCTCCCCTCTCTCCCTCCCAGAACCCCCACCCCTGGGGGCAGGGTGGTCTCTTGCTTAGAGGTCTGCCTTACACTTAAGGAACCAGATTTTATATGACCTCAGAGGAGCAGAGTGAGCCTTACATCCGAGGGCACAAGGCCAGACGTTGCAACTGTTATTATGGAGCTAGTCAGGGGACATGAAATCTGCCCCAGCCTGGACTTGAATCAGTTACGGGCTTGTCCCACTCCCTGCCTGGAGAGAGAAGAAGAGGTTACCAGTTGGCATGGCTGGACGTTTTGACTCACTCAGAGGTCACGCATAGCCAATGCGGTTTCATGAATAAACCCATCCAAGAGCCTCATGGACAGAGAATTCCATTCCTCCGCCCTGGGCCAGTCCCTTTGGAAGATGCCCCCTCCGCATTCCGCCTCATTCAAGGAGCTTCTCCACTGCTCAAGTGACTTCAGAAGCTGGCCAAGACTGCTTTAGACACCAAGACAGCTCTCTTGTCTTGTGTCCGTGGTCTATTTTCTTAAAATATCCATCGCTGGAGCTACACCTTTGTCTGCAGGAGGCCTGAGCATTATGCGAGTCTGGAGAGGCATCACAGATCCTAGCATTTGCTGGAATGTGCTCTGTCAAGCTTCAAGTGCTGACGAGATGCCAATTTGAAAAAGCAAAGTGTGGAGGGAAGGGTTGGGGGGCTGGGAGCGGGTGGGTTCTGCACAGCAAACACTGGGTTAAGCACATCTCCCTCTACTACTGAATGTCTGAGTCTTGAGTCTACCGAAACGCGGTGTGACTTCCAGAAAGGGCAGAGCCTCACAACAACCAGCCTTTACAAGGTGCTAGCTACGTGCCAGGTACAGGTGTAGGAGCTTTATGTAAAGTCGCTCTTGGAGTCCTCCTGACTCGACTACGCAGTCAGGCAGAGGAAGGTGCAGAGGGCAGGCCCGGGGCAGGCTGCAGTGCCAGGGTTCTCACCCAGAGCTGGGAACCTGGCGCACACAGCAGGGCCCCAACTTACTTGTTCAAAGAAAGCTTCTTGCCCAGTCTGCAATGTCTTACGGGAGCTCATGTTTTCAGAAATACATAGTTTCAGAAACACTGCAGTAAATGATAGGAGTCCAGTAGAGAGCACTGGTTTAGCAGAGTTCCTGTGAATGCAGCAGTGAAGATTGCTGAGGGAGAAAGGAAAAATCGGACCTAAAATACAAAGCAGGGGCTCCGAAGAACGGTCTGCAGCCTGTCACTCCGAGTGAGGTCCCCAGACCAGCGGCATCAAGAACCCCCAGGAGCTGGTTTAAAATGCAGAAACTCAGACCCCACTCCAGACCTGCTACCTTGATTCTGAATGTTGAAGGGATTCCCTGCCACACCCACCTCTGGTCCACAATCATCTGCATCAAAATCATAGAGAAACTCATGAAAATGCAGATTCCTGGGCTCTACCTGAAACCCACGGACTTGGAGCTTTTGGGAGTGGGGCTGGAAGCCGACCTTGTAACAGTCTCTTCAGTCTTCAGTCCACGCTCTTGCCACTAGCCTTTGGGAATCATGGCCTGTCCCACAGACGGCGCTGACAGCGTCAGGAAAAGGCTCTCTCCTGTGCCCGCCACCCCCTCCCCGCCCCGATTGGCAGAGCCTGGACCTCCGGGGGTGGAGCCTGGGACTCTGCCTGGGGAGGCTGGAGAGCCCCTGGCTCCGTGTGTGTGTGTTTGGCATGCTGGCCAGCGGGTCTCTGGCCTGCCATTGCTCCGCCCAGGTGGGAGGACCACGGCTGGCCTGGAGGAGGAGCTATTCTCTCTGCACTTTGGATAAAGAACCCTAGAAAGATGTGTGCTTTCGTTTCTAAGAGAATGCATTTGGGAGGGTAGTGTGTAAGTGACTGTTTGCTCCCAACACCTGTAAACTGTTGACTGTAATTGGACTACAGATGTTTGCTAAGCTTGATAGACGTCCCCGCTCTGTCTCCCACTTGTTGAGGCGAGTCTCGGAAGGGGTTTCATCTCTAAACCAAATGCTTGCATCAGGGCCACATTTCTCTGCTTTGATTGGATGTTAATTTGCTTCCTTCCCTATTTATAGTTATTATTTTAGACACTTCAATGTTAGACAAAATGACTGTTTTGTACAGAAAGCAGTGAGATGTCAGCAAAGGTGTGTTCGCAGAATAAAACAATGTCTTTGTGGGCGATTGAAGATATTCGAGGCACCATAGCAATGAATGAAATCAGCCTGCTACCCAGCTCAAGAAAGCTGCCTGCATGCCACAGAGAAGAGCGATCTTGAAGCGAAAAGCAATGGAGAGGGATTGAGAGGGGCCAGCAGGCAGGAGAGAGACCAGCACGAGTCACTCCCAGCCTTCGATTCCAATAACACTCACCTGCCGAGCTGCAGCTACTTTGGGAATAAAGAAAGGAACAGAGTTATTGCTTTAGGTTTTTCAAAATCTGTCTTTCTCCATGAACAGGGATCCATATGTACTGCATGCCAAGTTCTGCGTCAAGGTTTCCAACCACGATCCCATGCGATCTTCACGCAGGACAGAGGGGGTGGTGCCCACGGTTCACAGAGGACAGACTTGGGTATGTGAGCAGTCCGGCCTGGCTCACCTGCCACACAGGGCGGGCTGAGATTCTACTCCAGGCAGAGTGACTTAGGACCTAGGGCATGGCTTCGAGGTGCATCCCTTAGTGCAGAAAGCCCCGGGGGAAAGATGCCGGTGTCCCCTTCCACCCGAGGGCTGTTTTCTTTCCTTTCCAGTCTCATGCCGTCTGGCCCACTCCCCACCGGCAGAAGCCTGGCCCTCTGGTCCACCCAGAAGCACGTGCCCCCGTCCCGGCTCCACGCCTGAGCCTCTACAGCTCCCTCCGCCAGGGCACCTCCGCTCGCTAGGGGGCTTCCCCCTCTCTCTCGGCGCACCGAGTTGGCTGTGGCTGCTGCAGGACCTGGCGCACACATCTCTCTTCGCAGCGTGATGGAGTTCCTTTCTGTGTGTCTGTCCCCTGGCCACTCTGGGAGCCTTGAGGGTGGGGGACTAGGGTGTTCCCCTCTCTGCATGTGGCCCAGGCTCTGACCCTCTGGGGGAACCCAGGGCATGACCCCCACCGGTTGCACTGAACCCTGGGGTACTTCCTGCACTCACCCATTACACAGAGGAAGACACTAAGGCATGAATCAAGGGAAGGAGCTTGATCTGGAACCCAGGGCTGGCTGAGTTCAGACTTACAGTCTTTTTTTTTTTTTTTTTTTTTGAGACAGAGTCTCACTCTGTCGCCCAGGCTAGATTGCAGTGACACCATCTCGGCTCACTGCAATCTCTGCCTCTTGGGTTCAAGGATTCTCCTGCCTCAGCCTCCCGAGTAGCTGGGACTACAGGCATGTGCCATCACACCCAGCTAATTTTTGTATTATTTTTTTTTTCAGTAGAGACGGGGTTTCACCATGTTGGTCAGGCTGGTCTCGACCTCCTGACCTTGTGATCTGCCTGCCTTGGCCTCCCAAAGTGTTGGGATTACAGGCATGAGCCACCGCACCTGACCCAGACTTAGTCTTAATTATGACTCTGCTCCACGGAAGCACAGCATGCGTGCTGGGTCCTGAGGAGGAACTGGGTGAGCCGCTTCTCCCACCTCCCTGGGACTTGAGGGTCTTTGAGTTTTTGGAAATTTCTGTGGAGCAGGAGAAGCAGTTCATATGGGGGGAAAAATCAGAACAAAACAGACAAACCAAGCAACCATGAAAGGTACCGGATCTGCTGGAGAATGGAGGTGTGTCCTGGCAACAGAAGATGGGGAAGGGCCGTTCCCAGCTCCCAGGGTTTTTGTTGTGTT